CAGCCCCAAAGATGATATAATAGAGTCAACTATGCAGAAGGTGCAATCTCAAGGAAGGAGAGATACATAAAGAACATAAATAGAAGCAAAGGGATGAAAGGCAGAAAGGCAAGACAACTCAGGCTGTCAGAAAAAGTTTCTGAACGTGGTTCTCCCCGACTGTGAATCAACTTGTAAATGGAAGCCTAAAAAACAAGATCACTAGTGAGGACATATATTAAGACAGCATTTGCAATGCAGTTCAGTGTTGGCCCAGTCAAAAGAGGACAGGGTCACACGGATCAGACCATTTGGTAAATGTGGCACCGGCTGCAAGGCAGTCTGGAGAGACCAGTGTTTTCTTTGTCTTTTTTCTAGGAGCTCATGGAATATAGCTGTTTAAAATTAAGAAGCAACATCAGAGCCAAAAGGATAGCCATGGGTCATGGGAATTGGGGAAGGGGGACAAGACTAAAGGAAGAAAATTAAAAAGGAGACGGAAGTCTTATCACATCATGTCTCACTAGGGAACCAAATAAAGATGTAACATTACAGTTTTCTCATCTAGTAAATGATCCATGGGAGAGATACCTCCACCTGTCTGCCCGTAAGAACTCGATTATGACCCACACACTTCTAAAAAACCTGAAGATGCTATGAATGCTACCTAGCTTAATACCGCATTTCCATGTCATTTCTGTCAAGAGTTAAATTACTCGTACTTTTCAATAAGAACGCAAGTAAATAGTTTAGGTGAGTTACACAAACAGTATCTCACAGCAGTGTGGCTAACAGGTGTGCCTATTTTTCTAAAGCTCTCAAAGGTGAGAACTTCTAGAATGAGACACTGAATTTATATTACTCATTAATAGTTAAAAATTATACTATGACATGAAAGGGTTACAGAAACAAATTATTTCATTACTGTTACGAGACAAGCCTCAAGAAGCAAGAAGATGAAGGGAAAATGCTGCGGCATCTGGAGTGTGAACTGGGTAGCCCAGTCCTGTGCTACCACTTAATAGCTGGATGCCCCAAACAAGGGACTGCCTTCACTAAGGTTCTTAGCTTCAAGTTTCCTCGTCTACAAAATGGTAAGGATGCAATCCTATCTCCTTCCCTCCCTCCTTCCTGGCTGGTCTGTCTCTGTCCTTTCCTCCCTACCCACATTAATGTGAAGTCTTAACAGATAAATTTCTTTCTTTACACTATAACCTGACATACTTTCTATGAAGGAAACTGTACAATAAACTTGTAAGGAAAAATTCACTGGTCAAATTAAGAACCAGAAAAGTAACTAAATAATAAATGTTTTAGAATAAATGAGATAAAAGGACAACTGAGGATAAAGCTTGGATTAGAGATTTCTTTCAGAGCCAGGCCACACCTGCTAATGACTAAAATATTTGATTACTTTAATTAATTACCTTGGTTAAAGAACAAAAAAGTGCTGATGGTAATAAAATTCCAGAATATTAAAAACTCAGCCACATTTTCATTCTCTACTATGTTGAAGTCAAAACAAGACTGCCAACAGTGTTTTCACTTTAATTTTCTGGTAAGATAAAAAGAAAAATTAATATTAAAGCCAAATTCTCCACTTCTAAGTATAGTAAATTCTTTGAAAAAAAAAATACCTGTAGCTTTAAGAAACTGAAAACATTTCTGTACATCTTACTAGGAAATACGTGTTTATGCTTTGCTTAATGAGTATAAAAAAACTCAAGCTAATTTTCATAACTGTTTACTCCCTACTACCTTTCAAGCAGTTCTGAAAGAGGAAAAGTAAAATAAAAGTTGAAGCACTTACTGACAAGAGCATTAAGGGACTGGCATACTAAGCAACATGACATCCAAAAAATGGACCTAAAAATTCCTTTTTTGATATATGTGATTAATAATTATCAAAATAATGGTTCTGAACCCCAAACTCACTTTTATGTCAATGAACCTACTCTAAGCAATGGTAAAAGCATTCACAAACACACCACAAATAATACATAACAATCTGCTTATCTGGCTTTTAATTTTCTTTTAAAATATTTTGAGTATTCTTTCAATATTCTTAGGTCATAATCATCTCATCATATAAAGCTCACTATAAGGTACTTTGAGCTGAACAGAGCATTTATTATCTCATCCCCCCCAAACCTGTTAAAGAACTAGCTTGCTCCAAATATGGCATTATCTCTTCAGAGTCCTACGTCAGGTCCGACATAATTCTTTTGACGCATTATCTGTCTTGTCATGAGTGCACGCATGACTTAAATGGAGATAAACAGGCTAATGAAAAACACTCAGGTCTGGCCCTGGCTCAGTAGCTCAGTTAGTTGGAGCATAGTCCTGGTGGGCCAAGGTTGTGGGTTCGATCCCCAGTCAGGGCATATGCAGGGGTCAATCAGTGAGTACAGATGATGGGAGAGCAGGTCACTATCTCCCCTCCCCCCCACCCCCCAATAAGTTAAAAAAAAAAAAAAACCAAAACACTCAGGTCTGATTTTCAACTGCTGCTTTATAAGGGGAGAAAGACAAAGCTTTACAATGGGAAATCCATGTAAAACTATGTTCTCTCTGAACTTAGTCAATGGAATTTTAGGTAACCCCCAACCTGAAGAAAGAAGGAAGAGGCAGAGGCTGCCTGTCCAGAATGGTGGAGAAGAGAATCCTTCCCTCGGTAGAAAGTTCCCCTGAGTGAACTCTAAGGCACTTTCCTAACCCCAGAAAATGAGACTTACATTTATGAAAGGTAGAGGCACGGTAAATGCAATAAAAATGCAATGCATGCACGGGGACAAGAGAACAGTATGCTGGAAAGTTAGAAGGCCTGGGCTGAAATCCTGCTTCTGCTTCTATGTGAATCTAAGTAAGGCATTTCACTTCCCTCGTTTGCAAAATGAAAGGATTAGAGAAGAAAAATCTCTGAAGGTTCCAACATTGTGAGACTATGGCTTCCTCCTATGCCTGCCTCGGCCACAACCTTCCCATTGCTGCTCTTTACCATAATTAGGCAGCTTTTTAAAGCATCTAATTAATGAAACACAGAAATTAAAACCTTTAACTTTCTATTTCTGGCCTGTTGCAAACGTACAGCAGCATTTTATCAAGAAGTAGTTAATGCCGCACAGTTCTTGAGATGCTGGCTTTTCTTTGAACCCCAGTGACAGTTACACAGTGACAAGTTGTAAGCAAGGAGGTTGTTACCATGGGGACCCACTAGGATTCCTGGGGGTGGATCCAGCAGGCTTTTTTTTTCTTTCTAAAGCATTTTTTGATGTTCTGGATCTGGCAGTTCAGAAAGCCTGATCTGATTTTTCTTCAGCAAGCTTGCTTTCAAGAAATATTACCATGTAACATATAATTCTGAAGAAATAAAACTGTTTCAGTGACACTCTCTGCAAAAGATTTAAATATATTCAAGTCAATCTTTACCCCCTCCTTATTCATAAAAACAATAAATACAAACTGAATTAAGTTTCAGTGACCTATGTATGCTGCCATTTCTTTCCAAATCACCATACTGCATAAATTATATTACTTTGTATTTTCCCTATGAAGACTTCAGAGTTTTTCAAGGTGAGTTTCTACTCAAGAAATTTCAGCTTCCCTACACATCTTAGAAATATAGGAGACACACAAAATGTAACAACTCGAACTGATTATTAAACAAATCAAACCAATTAAATGAGAACAGAAAAGCTGAAGTTTAAATTCCAAGTCTGCTTCAAAGTCACCACATGCAGACAAAGGGGATGTAATATAGGGAAATAACTGCCATTTCCAGCTAAATGCGGGCCCCCACTAAGCGCCTCCGAGACACATTCTGTTAGGAGATACCTTAAGAAAATAGATCATTTCCAAGTCTGATCTATGCATCTAGTTTGTTCAGAGGAAAAAAGAAACAGTCAAAATTCAAAAGAAAACATTTTTCTAAGTTGTATGCTTCTTGGAACAGAGTGAAGTCTTCTCTAGGTCTTTATTAGGTCAGAGCAAAGTTACACCAGAGAGATGAACATTAATAAATAAAAAGAGCACTTGATTTTATAGTAATAATTGAGAACTTCAGCTATCCTAGGCCTGATCCACAATAACTTGTAAGCTAGAAAGTTCCTGAAACAAAGCTCAGTAAGCGTCCCTGTGCTCCTAAGTCTCTCCTTAGTCTCAAACTAATAATTATTAAAAAGCCTAAATATAAATGCCACTAAGATAAAATGTGTTGAAAACCAAATTCATAACCATATTATAAAACAGCAATGTCAAATTCACAAGCCTAAAGAATAAATAATAATCTAAGGAGACAGGGTATACCATCAGCTAAAGGTAAGCGCAAACATCGAGATATTTCACAAAAATATTGTATATGGTTTTGATATATTTACTCACCAAGCTTTCCTGTAGCACATCCAGAAACTTACTTTTAGTTTCTCAATCCCACTGCCACAATCTATAACCCAAATTAGTTCAGTAAAGAAGTTTGCAAGCTTTTTAAAGTGCACTTATAAACACATCCAGAGGCTCTTAGAAACAGCATATGATTAAAAAAAACAATAGATATATAATAAACACAGTGCCTTTCCATGATTGTTTCCCATAAACTTGAAAGTGGAAGAGCAAAGGACAAGCCCAGAGGACAGTTTTGCCACATTACTTTGATATCAGGGAGTCTAAAGACAAAAAGGAGAGACTCAAACAGCTGGACATGAGGGGGGCAAAGCCCTAGGTGCTTTAGGTGCTTTATTCATTTTTATTACTGGTTTACAGTTTCCTTGATTTTATTTTTAAATGCATGTCTTGGCCAGAAAAGCAAGAGAGCACAGACTGCCAGCAGTATCAGATTCTCCTTTTCTCATTCTCTGGAGCTACAGAAAACAGGGCCAGAATCAGGGTTGTCTAGGAGCCTTTTGATTTTGTCCAAACAATATACAATATGAGGTTTCAAGATCACAGAGCTACACAAAAGCTTTTATGGTACACATATTAGTCAACTTAATGTCTTCTCCAGCCCCCCATCCCTGGCCCCCCGCCCGTGGAGAGCACAAACACAGTCCCCCACTACCACAGATTATGCCGTTGAGTTTCCCACATTTGGGGAAATTGCAGGGGTCAGCACATCCAGAGCGCAATAGATAAGCCCAGCCCTGGGAAAACCACCATTATGATCAAGGTATTTCTACTGCCAGGTAAGTATAACTTAATGTCTTGCAATGGAAAGCTGCTTACTTCCCCCACCACCACCCCAACAGAAAAGTCCTTGGAGCTTTAAAGTACTTTGATTATCTTCAAAAGGCAATAACTTGAGACAGTCTTGAACTGTCTCAAAACATAAAAATAAAGTACCATCAGACCAGACGTTGAGTATTCAACAAATATTTATTGAGTACTGACTATGCAAGGTCCCGATACCAGTAAGCTCTGTGGACTGCAAAAATTCTATGCACAGCACTTGGTTCAATACTATATACACACTATTACATGAAGGCATAACTGTTTAGGTACATATTCACAACAACTTGGCTTCCCATGTCAAATGTCTTCCAACTTTTTCTACCCTGCAAATCTATCCTTCCTGTTTGTATGTAATTCCACATTTCAAAGCTGGCTCTTGTTTCTTTTTAATTCCTGCTCATTAATATTACTGGGAAATTTTACATTTTTCTGGAATAAAGTCTTTCAACTTAACAGAAATATAATGATCGCAGGAAGAAAAAAAAAATCAAATTAGAAGCATTAAACTGTCTTTCTCAGAGCTTCCCTCTCTCATTAACATTTCTCACAGAGAAAAACTCCACTGTGATGCTATTACAGATCATTCATGAAGTTACTGAGCAGAGACCAGACAGACTCCATCAACTGGGCACTCAGCCACTCACCATTACCCTTTGTTTAAAGTCTCAAGTGCCATTCAACCCACAGCATTGTGTTTCACTCAAGTCCATCAACCTTTTAAAAAAGGAAACAATCAGGACACTAAAAATGTGTTACTTACCTAGAAAAGAAGAAAGGATCTAATCCATATGCCTCACAAAAAATCATTTTAAAATGATGGCTCCCTTTAAATTTCCTATTTGAAACAGCAGTATTATTTTATTATCTGTCTTACATGTCTAAAAGTAGTTATAAAGACATAATCATTAAAACTTCTAAAACAAACAAACCAACTAACCTTCAATCTTGACCTGGCAAAGCACCAGAGAGAAACATTCTACACCAAGAGCAACATCACAGGTGCATCATGTCTACACTACAGACTCAGGAGCCAGACCACAAGTGTGAGGCCTTTTTGGAGGGTAGGGGGAAGGGCAATCTTCCAAAGAACAATGATCCTAGACCTATTCTAAAATTCAAATGAATTTAAGAAATATTAGGCAGAGCTCTGTACTCAACGTCTTATTCAAAACTCTTCTGGTTGTAACTAAGAGACGCCTTCTTCAAACTAACTTTAGCAAAAAATGGAATTAATTGAAAGAATACCTCCAAGAGCCCAAAGGCAGAAGGTACAACAGGGCCACACCTAAAAAAAGCCTTTATGCACCCAGGCTTCTATTCTCCTTGTGGACAACTGCCTCTCTCTCCAGAGCTATAGTACATTTCCCATCTACACATCTTTCGGGATGAATCTAATTCTCCTTCCCTGCAAGAAAAGACTGGCCTTCACTGCTTCCATATGTGTGAACCTGGATGCGGCTACACCCCAGCATCTGAGTTTATAAATTTGCATGTTTCAAGTTCTCTGAATTCAGATGATCTGTTTGTTCCCTAAAGACCTGAATCTAATGTCAATCTCAAATTCCTAGGAGAAACTGATTTGCCGAGCTTAGGTTAGGTGTTCACCCCCACTGCAACAAGCTGTCACAAAAAGGGCTAGATTGCCCTGAGCGGTGCAGCTCTGTGGGTTGGGTGTCATCCTGAAAAGAGAAAGGCCGGTCACAGGTTTAATTCCTGGTCAGGGCACATACCAGGGTTGTGGGCCAGGTCCCCTGGTGGGGGTATGTGAGAGGCAACTGATTGATGTTTCTCCCTCACATGTGACTGTTTCTCTCCCTTTCTTTCTCCCTCCCTTTCCCTCTAAAAATAAATATTTTTTTTAAATAAAGAAGGGCTAGATCAGAGTATAATTAGGGTAGGGACTGTGTGTCTGACTCCTCAAAAGAGATGAAATTCACTAAGGGGGAAAAAAAAAGCACAGTATCATCCTCAAAAAACTTAAAATCTTGCTGAAATGAAAAACCAATGTTATTAACGAAACAGTAAATAATATCCTGTGATACAGTAGTGGGATGAATAGATAAGAAAAGCTTCATGAGAAAAAGGTTAATTGTACACTAAATGACAAACAAAATTGAACCATGGGCAGGGAAGGGCTGAAGAATATAAAATGCAAGACCTGCTCCTTTTGCTCTAACTATCTAAGAAACATGAACCCAAGGAATAGTCTTTTACCACATAAACAGCCTCTAGTGAAGAAATATCCCTGCTGAAAACCTGCTATAAGGCTTAAAATGATTATATGGTCACAAAAGCAGTCCTGCTTCGATGTGCAGTAATTACCAGTTGATGAATGTCAGTTACACATTTTCAGTTTGCTTGTCGTCATCACCCTTGACTTCCTTTCACTCCCTGGACCCCCGAAGACCCTTGCTCAGATGGCATTCAGAATCAGGCAGGAAGCCCAAAGGGCAACACAGATGTTTCTCACTGCTAGTATCCCACCCAACATAGCTGGCAGCATCTCGCAGACCAAACTCAGACAGGAAAGAGTAACAACAGGCAAGTTATGATAGTAGCGTGGGGGAAGGGCATCGGAACAGAAAAGAGGAATGTTTCCCCCACACACAAAAGCTACAAGCACAAAAAGAAACTGGGAAATGCCTACAGTAAATTATCTGTACAAAATAGAAACTAGCAAAAACTTTAACCGATGTCCAAATAATATTGGGTTAAAAAAGACAGTCTACTCACAGTAGACTATTATCCCACATTATCACCAAAATATCACACACATTACTAGTCTCTACAAGAGCTTGCTTCAATCTCACAGGAAACAACAAGGCCACAGAACAATGAGAAAGTGGTGACAGTTTCTAATTTAGGGATTCTTCTGCTGAAGAGTAGCAATGTTATGTAAATGAAACTACTAACTACTGACCTTCCAAAATAAAAGTGTAACCTATAAAATTAAACAGTTTTGGAACCAAAAAACTTCCTTTTTGTAGAATCCCCACACTAAAGACATTCATTTCCCAATTCAAAACTAAAGTTTCAATATGGGAATTGTGATATTTAACTCCATTCTGTCAAAGCTGAACACAGCTGTAAAAAGAAGGGCTGGCAGTCGGTGGAGGTGAGGAAGTTAGCAAACAGTTCTTTTTAAAGCCACACTCTCCACCTAAAAGTGGCACATTAAAGTCAATTAAGTGGGTACTCTCTCTCTCTCATGGGAGCACACCCTCTGTAACTTTCTAAATAAACTTTCTCTTAAAATTTGACTTCTTGGCTTTGAAATCTTTCTTTGCTGAACTCAAGAACCAAGATCCAATTTCACCAACACTGCCGGCACCAAAACCACATTACAAAGAAGTTATTAATTTATATGTAAACCATACACATTACAATCCCTACCTTTTGGGCAGGAAAAAAAGGTTATAATGATAAAAAATGAGTTACTAAGACAGGCCAGAAACTGATCTCTCCCTAAGGAACCTCAGCGTTTTCCTCTCTCCTAATGAAAGCAAATACACACATGTCACTGCCTCTTTGGGTGAAAACCAGAAGCTGTCCAATAAGCTATAAATAACAGCCAAAAAATAAAAAAAATAAAAAAAATAAAACCATTTAAGAGAGAGTCCTCAGATCTTACTGCAGCCTAATGAGAACCCACCATTCCTCTTTACGAAAGTTGATCTGAAAATGAGTTCATTTCTTGTAAAGTGGGGTAAAGGTTGGCTGGCTGGTTGTCATATTAGAACTTCACAAAAATCTTCATGTTAAAACACATTTAAGAGGCTGAATGAATTATCTTATATTCAGTCTCCTCCCCTTTCTCACCCCTTGAGAAAAGTCTAATTTTAACATAACTTTCCATATTTATGAAATTAATGTTCTCTGTATAAAAATTTTAAAACAATGGTAAGTACGAAGAAGAAAAAGAAAAATCATCCACAGCCCAATGCCCAATACCCAGAGTAAATTTTGATATTTATCCTTTTATCCTGTGAGATAGAATTTCTAAGAGAATTAAAGATTTCCTTTCTGAAAAGAATGTATTAAGTCAATATGGGGTTTATGATGGATATAAAGCATTCTTGGAAAATTTTACAGGTCTGGAACTCAAAGAAGTTTAAAATAAATACAGGCGCATGGCCTCCATAGCATAGCAGAGGTTTAAAAAATAACAACAGAACAATTCTGTAAGGAAATCCCTACTTTAAGCAGTGTCTAACACCCAATTTCATGACAAGGATTAAGTTACAATTATAAAGATCTCTTCAAGAAAACTGTCTTTAGCAAATTACAAAGCTCAGATAAGGATTCTTGATACAATATAGTTTACAATGCAAATAACTAAAACTGATTATCTCTTTTGTCTATATTACAACTCTAAATTTAGAGCCCTCCCACCCTCCATGCCTAAAACTAGCTACCTATTTAGGAAAAGACCCAGGTGTCCCTATTACAAATCCAGTAATACACTCATCTGTATTTTCAGTTTACTAACAGACTCTTACATGAAATAAGAGTGTGAAACTGAATCTAGGAAACCACATTACCCAAGGATTCCACAGGGGGCAATGAACTAAAAGGTTCTATGGGGAAGGATGCCTTGCGTAGCAAAACATTTCATATGCAAGAACTGGATATTAGGAAACAATCTCATCCCTTATGCCACAAAGACAAAGGAAAATGCAAAACAAAATAAACCCAAAAGTGGAAACAAAAGGAACACTGACTTGGTAGCTACTTTTTATTATGGCACTACTAGGCATTTTAACTGCGCAGTTTTCTTTGGCTTAGCTTGCATTATTGAACCATACGATTAGTATGCCCGTTTCTACAGATGAAAAAAGGAAGCAGCATTATCAACACTGTACCAGACACTGCTCAGCGCCTAGCACAAGTTATCTCAATTGACTCTCACGTTACCATTCCAGCCGGGTATGTCTTTTAAAGATGGGAAAACACGCCCAGGAA